AAGTTGATTTTTCCTGAAAGTTCCAAGAGCTAACTAATACTGCCATTATTATCTCCAGGGAGATGATTGAAAACAATTTTTTAAATTTATTTTTGGAATTAAAACATAACTTATTATACATATTTATGGGCTACAGAGTTGACTATCAGTATTCATGTACAGTATGCAATGATCAAATCATTAGCATGTTCAGCATTACAAACAAAAATTATTCTTTGTGTCCCTTATCCAATTACTCCCTAATCCCACCCCCTGCCCTGTATACCACCTCTAGTAACTATATGTCTGTTGTCTCCTTCTGAAAGCTCAAAGTTTTATTGAGCTTGCTTTCTTTCCCTCCCTCCCTCCCTCCCTCCCTTTCTCCCTCCCTCTGTCTCTCTCTTCCTCCCTCCCTCCCTTCCTTCCTTAGCTCCCACTTACGAGTGAGGACATGTGGTATTTCACTTTCTCTGCATGGCTTATTCACTTAACATAATTTTCTCTAAGCTTATCTATGTTGTTGCAAATGGCAGAATCTCATTCTTTTTATGGCTGAATAGTAATCCATTGTGTGTATTTACCACATTTTCCTTATTCAGTCAACTGTCAATGGACATTTAGGTTGGTTCTTGTATTAGTCTGTTTCTGTTGCTTAAAACAAAATACTTGAAACTGGGTGATTTATGAAGAAAACAAAATTTATTGTTTATAGTTTCTGAGGCTGAGAAGTCCAAACTCCATCTGGTGGTAGTGACATTGACTCAGGGGTCTCATATTATAAGATGGTGGAAGAAGAGAGAGAGAAAGAAATAATCTCCTATTCCTTTAGAGCCCTCAGACCATGTCCCTCACAACCTTTTTTAATCCATTCACTACTACATGGTCCTACAATCCAATCATCTCTTCAAGGCTCTACCTTTCAGTTAACATAATAGGATTTCCCACTCTCTTAACAGTCACAGTGAGGGCTAAGTTTTTAATACATGAAACTTGGGGTACACAATTGAAGCTTTGAAAAGTTTTGGGGGAACATAATTCAATCCACTACAGTTCCATACCTAGAGCTGTGATGAACATGGGAGTGCAAGTATCCCTTTGACAAGATCATTTCTGATGTTGTGAAAATATCCATACTACCAAAGTGATCTACAGATTCAGTGTAATCCCTATCAAAATACCAATGACATTTTTCACAGAAATACAAAAATCAATCCTAACATTCATACAGAATAAAAAAAAATTCTGAATAGCCAAAGCAATCCTGAGTAAAAAAAAATAAATAAATAAAACAGGAGCCATTACACTACCTGACTTCAAATTATACTACAGAGCTGTAGTAAGCAAAACAGCATGTCACTGGCATAAAAAGAGACACATGGACTAGTAAAACAGAATAGGGAACCCAGAAATCAACCCAGGTACTTACAGCCCACTGGTCTTTAGCAAAGGCACCAAGAGTACACACTGGGGAAAGGACAGCCTCTTCAGTAAATGGTGCTAGGAAAACTGAATAGCCATGTGTGGAAAAATGAAAAGATTTATTTGGTGAGGTATTATCCCCAAACAAGTGCTATCTAACATTTTTATCAGATGCGGTAGCTCAAAAGATTTCTTTGTATCAAAAATTTTTTCATTGTTGTGTTTTCAAAATTTGTGTGGATGAGTGACACATAATTGTACATTATTGTACATATTTATGGGGTACAGTGTAATAAATTGATACATGTATATAATCTGTAATGATCAAATAAGGATAATGAGCATATTGATCACCTTAAATATTTATCATTTTTTTTGTGATGAAAACATTCAAAAACCTCTCTTCAGGCTATTTTGAAATATACACTATGATATCATTAAATCTAGTCATCCTACTATGCAATAGAACACCAGAATTTATTCCTCCTATCTAATTGTGGTTTTGTACCCATTGACCAACCTTTTACTATCCTCCCAACCCTCTCCGTCCTCTGGTAACCACAATTCTGGTTTCTGCTTCTGTGAGAAAAACTGTTTAGATTTCACATATGAGTGAGATCATATGATATTTGTCTTCCTCAAACAACAACAAAAACACAAATAACCCAATTTAAAAATTAGTAAAATACCTGAATAGACATCTCTCAAAAGAAGACATGCAGTTGGCCAACAGCTATATGAAAAAAAGGTTAATATGACTTATCATAAGGGAAATGGAAATCCAAACTACAATGAAATATCATCTTACTCCAGTCAGATGGCTACTATTAAAAACATCAAAATATAGTTAAGTGTTGGTGAGGATGTGGAACAAATGGAACCCTTATACACTGCTGGTGGGAATAGTTAGTACAGCCACTATGGGAAACACTATGGAGTTTCTTCAAAATTTAAACGTCGAACCACGATATGATCTAGCAATCCCACTACTGACTATATATCCAAAGGGGATTCACATGGAGCCAGTGTTTCTCAGTGTCCAGGAGCAACAGAGACAGCAGTGGTAGTGGTGGTTCCCTATGTCCAATGCTGGTAGGGCAAGCTTAAACTGTCCTATCCAGGTTTGAGATGTGGCCATAGCAGTTTTTTTACACAACTCATTCCTGAGTACAGTTTTGGATTTTTGCTGTGATCCTTGCTGTGGCTATTTCTCCCATTTCCATTCTCATTTTCTGTGCTGTTCACCCCTTAATATCTTTTCAATGTTCTTTTCTGTGTAAGCCAGAAAGAGTCACTTTCAGTTTTTTGGCAATGAAGAATTCTGATGGACACAAAACTAGACACCAGAAAACACATGTCATTTGTAAGTTCAATCAAAAGATCTAGTACAAAAGTCTTATGGAATGTACATTCTGTGTCTAGAGGGAAACAATTTACACACACACACATACACAGCATCTTGATATGTAGGAGCAGACCTCTCTCCATCCTAAATCAGACATTAATAATTGTATGTGTGTGCATTTTAGGGGTGTCTGGAGAGGGTGCAGAAACAATTCTTAAAAGGGTCTTTGGATGTGGACCTAAATATTATAATGGAATTTTCATTTTCAGATAAGTTGAACTTGTTTTCTTTAAATATAATGATGAGCAAATTTGTGGAAAAATGCCTGACAGAGGAAACACAAGATAATTTTTAAATTAACTCATAACCTTATTATAAACAAAGGCCATATATGAATAAAGCAAAATCAAATGTAGAAGAAATACTCATCTTAGTTTCTTAAAAAAAATATTTTTGCTTATTTTTGACAAGTAAAAATAGTATATATTTATGGTGTACAATGTGATGTTTTGATATATATATACACACACACACACACACACACACACACATTGTGAAATGGCTAAATCAAGCTATTTGAACATATGCATTACTTTAAATACTTACTTTTGTATGTGTGGTGAGAAAACCTAGATTGTATTTCCAATTTGTTCATTTGCTATCGTACTAATCTGGTCAGGATAGAACTATCTGAGGTCACTTTGATCATCTATAAAGAAGACGGTTCTAAAATAATAAAATACTAAACTTTGACAATAATAAACAATAAAGCATGGATTATTGATGACAAAGTAGTTGGGAGATGGACTAGCAGTGTTCATGGACAAATTTGTAAAAGGAGTTTAAATTTAAGTTGAAAAAGAAGCATGCCTTGTATTTAACATGAGGACATGCACAGTGGAGGACAAAAAAACATGAAGAAACTTAGTTACTTTGCATGTTAACCGGTATTTCCTTTTTTTCTTACATACTTGTTTGTTTATAGATTGAGCTTTTATATATTTCATAAAGGTACCGGTTATGTTTCTAGCCTAGTGATATTCATGGTATTTTATTTCTCTTAAGCATTTTCTATTAAATATAGATAATCACTATTGTTGATTAATTGTGTCACCACAAAAGTTATGTTGAAGTTCTAACCCATGGTACCTGTGAATGTGACATTATTTGGCAATAGAACTTTAGCAATGTAATCAATTTAATATGAAGTTATACTAAACTAGGGCGGGTCTTAAATCCAGTGCCTGGAGGTTCTTTTATAAGGAAGATATGTGGAGACACAGTCACACCCCCCCACTCCCCCCACACACAGAGGGAAGACAGCCTTGTGAAGATGGAGGCAGAAATTGGAGTGATATAGCTACAGGCCAAGGAACACAGAGGGTTGTCCGCCACCACCAGAAGCCAGGAGAGAGGCATGGGACAGACTTTCCCTCAGAGCCTCCAGAAGAAACTGACCCTGCTGACATCTTAATTCCAGACTTGTGGCTTCCTGAACTGTGAGAGGATAAATCAATTTCTAATGTTTTAAGCCAGCCAGGTGATTAGTGATTAGGTGATTCCTCATGAACTGTGCAGTAGAGGAGTAGAAAAGCAGTCATGACCTTTGTAGTGTAGTTTTGCAGCTCTTCACATCCCTGAATCTAGTCTAGATGTGTAACTTGCTTTTGTAAATAAAATGTGACAGAAGGAATGTTGCACTGTTCAGAGTATAAGTGTGGTGAGCCCATGGATGTAGCTGCTCCCTCTCTGGCACCCACGTGATTCCCATCAGTACAAACCAAAGCTAGCTTGCTGGAAAAAGAGAGACCCTTTGAAGCAGTGCTAATTCACCTCTACAGAGTCCGTTTTAGACCACCTTACACCTGATTCCCCCAAACGTGGGAGAATTCCATCCAGATCAGCAGAACCGACTAGCTGAACCATAACTCATGAGCAATGATAAATGACTGTTGTCTTAAGACACTAAATTTAGAGGAGGTCAGCTCTATAGAAATGGCTAAGTGATAAAAGATACACAACTTACTCCACATAATAAAGATATGAATCACATTTGTTAGACCCATCCTTGACTCTTTAAAATTGTTCCCATTATCAAGCATGGTATAGAGAAGCTATAACAGGTCTGATAGTTGCCTTGCTTTTTTATCTGCATGAAACAAGTAAAACCTTACTTTTTTACCTGTTCAAATTTATTATCAGTTAAAAAAAATTGCCAATTTAAACTTAAAGTTAATTGTTTTAAATTTTATTTTAGAGGGGGACAAGCCGCAGGAGAGCGACTCGGGAATAAGTGTGGGAGAGGAAATTGCGATGGCTGTGACGCCGGGCCCGGGAATGGTGACAGCATGTCTGCGGTGCGACCCATGTGGCTTTACCTCCTAACAATGGGAATTTACCTGCCTGTGTCTTGTGTTTTGGGCCCTTCACTTTACTTTTGGCCTCAGTGAAATGGAAACATTGCGTTGGGAAGGGAGCGAACCGCTGCGCCCCTTGCCAGCAGGATCCCAGAGGCCACCAGCAAGAAGAGGAACTCAGAAAGCCTGATGGTGAGTCAGAATCTCTGTGTCCTTGCTTACGCAGGGGGTAGCTGTTACTACCCACGTGGATTGCTCTGAAGGATTGCTGAGACCTTGAAGGGGACTCTCATACTACGTGCACTGAGGTTTGGAGTGCACGCCATTTTGTGAAATTTACAAAATTCTCCCTGGGAAGAAGCCACCTGGAGCGGCTGCCACTCGGTGCCCGGCCACCGCAGCTGCTGCCCTCAGCACCAGGCCAGGATGTGCAGCGCTGCCAGGGGGACTCGGGGTCTGGCGACAGCGGTATCTGCTGGGGAGGGGGCTGTCATCTCTCTGGCCACGGGCGCTGCTGGAACCGTGAACCAAAGAGAGACTGAGCAGACTGCAGCAAGAACAGGAGCCAGGAGGGACAGGGGCAGCGAGAGGCGGCTGGGGCAGCTCTGGCTGTGGAGGCTGCCACGGGAGCTCAACGTGGGAGCGCAACGTGGGAGCTGAGACTCTCAGCAGGGAGCAGTGAGAATGTCCCGCAATCCAGCAAAGACAATATTGGACTTGCCTGACACTAGTGTCCAACTGAGTAATCACTGAGGTAGCCATACCAAATTGGCAACCCCAACAAAATCTTAGTCAGACAATAGTGTCAAACCTGTGGACTGTGAAAATCCCTGCCACAATGAATAAGCATCAAAGAAAAGACACCAGAAACACAAAAAATCAAGAAAGTACACCACCCAAAGATAATAAATCTCAAGCTCTAGATCCTATAGAACAAGAAGCCCTTGAAATGACTGACAAGGAATTTCAAGTGATAATTCTAAGGAAACTGAATGAGATACAAGAAAACTCAGCTAGACATCATGATGAAATGAGGAAAAGTATACAGGACCTGAAAGAGGAAATGTACAAGGAAATCAGTGCCCTGAAAAATAAATGTAGCAGAACTTGCTGAATTGAAGAAGCTATTCAGCAAAATAAAAAACACAATGGAAAGTTTAACCAGCAGACTTGTCGAAGTTGAAGAGAGAACCTCTGAACTTGAAGATGGGCTGTTAGGAATAACACAAGCAGACAAGAAGAAAAAGAAAAAAGAATCAAAGGCATTGAAGAAAATCTGAGAGAGACATTAGACAACCTTAAGCGCTCAAATATCCGAGTCATGGGTATTCCAGAAGAAGAGGAAAAAGGAGATTGCATTGAAAACATATTCAACAAAATACTGGCAGAAAACTTCCCAGGCATAGGAAAAATCACAGATCATCAGATCCAGGAAGCTCAACGATCTCCAAGCGTATTCAACCCAAAAAGGTCTTCTCCAAGACATGTTATAGTCAAATTGGCAAGACTCAAGACAAAAAGAGAATCTTGAGAGCTGCAAGATAGAAGTGTCAAATCACCTATAAGGGAACCCCAATCAGGCTAACATCAGACTTTTCATCATAAACCCTAAAAGCCAAAAAGGAATGGGAGGATATATTCAAAATATTAAAAGACAGAGATTGTCACCCAAGAATACTCTACCCTGCAAGGCAGTCCTTCCGAAACGAAGGGCAAATAGTATATTTCTCAGACAAACAAAAACGGCGGGAGTTCACCAACACATGACCACCCTTACAAGAAATTCTCAAAGGAGTACTGGGTTTGGTTCCTGAAAAATAACCACTACTGCCATAAAAGCCCAAGAAAAATCTAAACCCACTAGTAAAATGAAAATGGCATACATGAAGAGAAAACAAACAAATGAAAAGGCTATCTACATCCTAAAGAACCAACAAAGAAAACAAACAGTAAATCAGAAAGCAAGGAACAAAAGACATTTAAGACAACCAAACAACAATCAATAAGATGCTAGCAATAAGTCAACACTTTTCAATAACAACTCTTAATGTAAAAGTCTTAAATTCCCAAATCAAAAGACATAGACTGCCTGACTGGATTAAAAAGGAGGACCCAACTATATGCTGCCTTCAAGAAACCCACCTCACCCATAAAGACACACATAGACTAAGAGGGAAAGGATGGAAAAAGATTTACCATGCAAACAGAAAAGAAAAACGAGATGGAGTAGCAATTCTTATATCTGACAAAGTAGACTTTAAACTAAAAACCATAAAAGGGAAAATGACGGACACTACATAATGATAAAAGGACTGATCCATCAAGAAGACATAACAATCATAAATATGTACGCACCCAATGTTGGAGCAGTCAGATTTATAACACAAACTCTATTAGACCTAAAGAAGGTAATAGACACTAATACCATAATAGTAGGGGAGCTGAACACCCCACTGTCAATAAGCTGAACACCTCACTGTCAATACTGGATGGATCATCCAGGCAAAGAATCAGCATAGAAACACAAGATCTAAGCAATACTCTAGACCAATTGGACATGGCAGATATCTACAGAACATTCTATCCAACAACCTCAGAATATTCATTCTTCTCATCAGCACATGGATCATTCTCCAGGATAGATCACATATTAGGTCACAAATCAAGTCTCAATAAATTCAAAGAAATTGGAATTATGCCATGTAATTTCTCAGACCATAATGGATTAAAACTAGAAATCAATAACAAACGAAACTCTGGAAACTACACAAACACATGGAAATTAAACAACATTCTACTTAACGACACATGGGTCCAAGAAGAAATCAAACAGGAAATAAAAAAATTTATTGAAACTAATGAAAATAATGATACATCATACCAAAACTTGTGGGATACAGCAAAGGCAGTACTAAGGGGGAAATTTATTGCATTAAATGCCTACCTCAGAAAAATGGAAAGCTGGCAAGTGAACAATCTAATAATGCGCCTTAAAGAACTAGAAAAACAAGAACAATCCAAACCTAAAGTTAGCAGAAGGAAAGAAATCATCAAGATCAGAGCAGAACTTAACGAAATTGAAAACCAAAAAACAATACAAAAGATCAACAAATCAAAAAGTTGGTTTTTTGAAAAGATAAACAAAATCGACAAACCACTTGCATGGCTAACAAAAAAAAGAAGAGAGAAGATTCAAATAACAAAAATTAGAAATGAAAAAGGTGATATTACAACCGACCCAAATGAAATACAACGAATCATCCGAGACTACTATAAACAGCTATACGCCAACAAGTTCGAAAACCTGGAGGAAATGGATAAATTCCTGGACTCACACAAGCTTCCAAAATTAAACCAAGAAGATACAGAAAACCTGAACAGGCCAATAACAATAAAGCATTCGAGACTACTTTGAAAATCTGGAGGAAATGGATAAATTTCTGGACACACACAAGCTCCTAAAACTCAGCCATGAAGAAATAGAAAATTTGAACAGACCAGTAACAATAAAGGAGATTGAAGCTGTTATCAGAAAGCTTCCAACAAAGAAAATCCCAGGACCAGATGGATTCACAGAAGAATTTTACCAAACATTCAAACAGGAATTGACACCGATTCTTTACAAACTATTTCAAAAGATTGAAACAGACACAAATTTCCCGAACTCATTCTATGAAGCAAACATCATCCTGATACCAAAACCAGGTAAAGAGATAACCAAAAATGAAAACTACAGGCCAATATCCTTGATGAATATAGATGCAAAAATCCTCACTAAAATACTAGCAAACAGAATACAGCACCACATACATAAAATTATTCACTGCAATCAAGTAGGATTCATCCCAGGGATGCAAGGTTGGTTCAACATAGGCAAATCAATAAATGTGATACACCATATTAATAAAATCAAACACAAGGACCATATGATCATCTCTATAGGTGCTAAAAAAGCATTTGATAAAATTCAACACTCATTCATGACAAAGACCCTCTATAAGTTAGGTATATATGGAAAGTATCTCAACATAATTAAAGCCACATATGATAAACCCCCTGCCTTTATCATCCTGAATGGGGAAAAGCTGAAAGCTTTTCCATTAAGAACTGGAACCAGACAAGGATTCCCACTCTTACCACTCCTAGTCAACATAGTGTTGGAAGTACTAGCCTGAGCAATCAGAGAAGAGAAGGAAATAAAGGGCATCCAGATTGGAAAAGATGAAGACAAACTGTCCCTGTTTGCAGATGACTTGATCCTATATATCGAACAGCCTAAAGCCTCTACAAAAAAACTCTTTGTGTTGATAAATGATTCAGCACAGTAGTAGGATACAAAATCAACACACAAAAATCAGTAGCATTTCTATTCTCCAATAGTGAACATGCAGAAAGAGAAATCAAGAAAGCCTGCCCATTTACAATAGCCACCAAAAAAATTAATGCTTAGGAATTGAGTTAACCAAGGATGTGAAAAATCTCTATTATGAGAACTACAAACCACTTCTGAGAGAAATTAGAGAGGATAAAGAAGATGGAAAGATATCCCATGCTCTTGGATTGGAAGAATCAACATAGTGAAAATGTCCATACTACCCAAAGTGATATACAAATTCAATGCAATCCCCATCAAAATTCCAATGACATTTTTCTCAGAAATGGAAAGAACTATCCAGACATTTGTATGTAATAACAAAAGACCACCCATAGCCAAAGCAACACTGAGCATAAAAAATAAAGCTGGAGGCATTACTCTACCTGACTTTAAACTATACTACAAAGCTATAATAACCGAAACAGTATGGTACTGGGATAAAAACAGACACACTGATCAATGGAATAGAATAGAGAATCCAGAAATCAACCCACACACTTACTGCCATCTCATCTTTGACAAAGGCACCAAGCCCATTCACTGGGGTAGGGTCG